TTTCACATGTAATAAAACGCCACATGTGTAAATCTCACTTTCATATGTGGATTTGCAAGTTCGCAATGTGGAAAGGTGGTGTTAACATGTTGCAGTAGCAATTTGTTCACATGTGGAATTGCAAATTCTGTAATGCCATACTGTAAAAGGTTACTTAGCATACCTGAGTATAATAATTCAAGTGAGTTAAAAATAATTATTTCATATTTCTGAGCCATCAACTACTTTATTAATGTAGTTCTCCTCCATGGTGTTGCATTGATATACATGTATACTTTGCGCTACCACTAGGGAGAGGCATTCGGAGCTGGGAAAAGCTGGGACCGAAAGACTCATAAACAGCTTCCATCTCCAGTCCATCAGACTGTTAAACAGTCACCACTAGCCGGCCTCCGCCCAATTTTTTGTTTTCACGTGACATTTTTCACGTGATTTGATCACACGTGAAACATTTACATGTGGAAAATCCATCTGAAACGTCACGTGTCTGAAAAAACAAAAACAAAAAAATACATTATTCTTCTTCATATGTGACATTTTTCATACAAGTTTTTTCTTACGTATGTTTGTTCATTTGTTAATGTTTTTCTTTTCTTGTAAGGGCAGGCATAGTTAGGTTACTCGCCATTTGAACATTGTTCAGCAAAAGACCTGCACTACACTTGTACTGGGCCAAATTACTTGTTTATTCTGTTGCTTCATTATTATTATCGTCAGCTTCTGAGATAAATACTCTGGTATGTCATCGTACCAGTCCGTGCCAGAAGAAACCCTACAATATCACAAGTCACAAGCTGTTTTCTTGATATAGTCAAAACACAGTTTTGACAGTGGCCTCTACCTTTGACAAGTTTATTGTTTTTGGAAGCAATTGTTACACATCTTAATCCTCCAAATGTTGGCGATCACGATCATGATGTTCGACGATGTTTCGGCGAGGTAATCAATAAAGTGATGAAAATATTTACACTGCCTTGACAATCAAAGTTCAAAGTGATGCCTCTCTTCATATGTTCCCTCATGGTTTCCCTGGCAACAAACAAGGTAAACAATCATAGACAGAACAATGAAGGCCTAAGATGACCTCGGAATCTAACACTAAACATTCTTTGAACAGAGCATAATGTTCACCTGTTGATGATCACTGACTCTACTCGCTCCTCTGTTCTTGTTCTTTTCCAACCACTGTAAAATAAATATATTCTTCTGTTGTAATCTGTATCCCCTCCCCCCCTTCTCACAGCTGGATGAGAGAAGACGTGCTCACTTGGAGGGTTCTCTTTCCGTTCTCTGTCTCATCACATCTCTTCAGCTAATTCCTCCTTTCTTTATTTGGACTCTAAAAACAACCATTATACTGCTTCAGTGGGCCGACACATTAGGTGAGTTAGATGACAGTTATTTCATTAAATGAACCCACTTCTTTGAAAGGAAGTGTAGCCAGAGCACTTATTCACTTTAGTTTTTTTCAACATTGTTACTGTCAAACTTTATCTTATCTAACTCTCCATTGATCTGAAGAGAGAGAGAATTTCATTCTCAGTATGGGACCATGGGATGGAATGTGTTCAGTATGGGAGAGTGGATAACCCTAGCTGTGGGTTAAATGTGTTCCAAGTGGATTGTGTGCTTTATTCTCAACAAGATCTCAGGGTCTGACTTCAGTATTCAATGTTTGTCCTGAGGGGAAAAACATCCAAACTTAACTGTTAAATTTAGGCATTCATTCCGACTGTTTAATGCTAGAACTGCCACAGGCCAACGGCCACTGATGTTTGATTTCGTAAATAAAAGAAATCAGACAAGAAAAGCAACTTCCTGCTCCTTCCCTGACTTTTCCTAAATGTTTGTATTTTACATTGCTAATTTGTCCGAATTTTGAAATCACAAACGGATAAGTATTTAGACCCTTTTTACCTGTTTTTTCCCCACACCTATTCCCAACTTAACCCGCTAAGACAATGTGCTATAAGACGATGGGACCCAGCCATGTGCTTATGCGTCTCTCTCTCCTCACTGAATGAATGACAAATGGATGAATTAAATCAAATCAAATCACATTTTATTTGCCACATGCGCCAAATACAATTGTCTTTGACAATTTTGAGGGCCTTCCTCTGACACCGCCTGGTATAGAGGTCCTGGATGGCAGGAAGCTTGGCCCCAGTGATGTACTGGGCCGTACGCACTACCCTCTGTAGTGCCTTGCGGTCGGAGGCCAAGCAGTTGCCATATGCATATGATGCAACCAGTCAGGATGCTCTCGATGGTGCAGCTGTAGAATTTTTTGAGGATCTGAGGACCCAAACAGGACGCCCGGCAATGTTCTCTAGAGGGGTACTTATAGGCTGAAAGGCCAGGCGGTTCTAGTGTTAAGGTAAGGGTTAAGGTTTGGGATAGGGTTTTAAACATATAATTTTTTTAACGAGTGCCTTAGTTGTGTGCGTGTCAGCTGTTTGTTCACCCGCACCCACCCGCAATTGCTAATAACCCATCCTCAACCGCCCGACTATATGTGATAAGTGGAAATCTGAGGCCTGCACCCAACCCTACTCCACAAATATAGAAAATGCGCTACAGTCAAAGACGGCAGAACGATTTTTTGACAGGGTGGCTGATTTTTTTTGCCTGATTTAGATATGTTTCTGCTTATATTTTCCAACATTTTGTTAGGCTATTTGTTAGTCAACTTGTCTATAATTAGATACATGCAGCTTCTCTTCTGTCATTATATGTTGCCCTGCAAGACTAAAGAAACCCTTGCTCACCAGAATAATGTAAAAGATCGATAGAATTAATGCTGCAATCTAGTTGACATTGGTAAAGTCTTCTCTGTCATCTTTCGGGGAGCAAAGACGTTAAAGGACTGGAGAGAAAACACAGTAACGCAAAAAAATTCCAAATTACATCAGTTTGACCGATTGTAAGGAAAAAGAAAGCTTTGAAAACGACCCAATGTGTTTCTGATAAGATTTCAGTTCGGCTAAGATGCATATTTCATTTGGTTCAAATAATATTAGCTTTTATTATGCTTCCATAATGAACACATTGCATTCTCTCAAGAGACAGAAATAAATAAATAATATTTCTCCACTCCTGTTCCCAAGTCAAAATGTTGCCTATATTTGGTGTGTCGTTTTACTGCAAGAAATGCTTAATTCTGCATGAGTTAATATTAAGGCTATGTGAGAGGTTATAGACCTACAGTCAGTGTCCAGATTTCAGTTTCCATTTAACCCATCTAAAAAGTAGGCTACAGTTCCCTTGACATGCCGTAGGCCTATTTGAAGTCCCGTCTTGTAACTGTCGAATTTGTATAGCACCTCACAATCATCACACATAACATAGCCGGCACTGCTATCATCCTCTTTGACCACTTCACCAAATATTTTCCAAACATTACTTTTCTGGCCCTCCCTCTCTTTATTTTCAACTCTCCTTTCACAACTGTTGTCTTATTGAATTAAACTTCGAAAATGTCAGTTTTGCCTCCGTGGATTGACCTTAACTTTTTCTGCCCTTTCCCAAAAGCATTATTTGGCGATTGACTGTGTAGGCTATTTGGCACGCATACAGTTAAAACCAAAATATTAGATGTATGCACTAATACCACATAGCCTAAAATAATGAAAGAAAAGCCTCAATGTAGACTATATAAATTGCGCAATAATTATATTTTTATGGGTTTTTTTAAGGTATTGTTTCTCTTTATTCAACCCCCTGGTTATGAGTCAACCCGCGCACCACTAGATGCCCATAATCCTCAGAGCTGTAGCTCGAGGTTCAAGTCCTTCCTCTATCCCCATCCACAACGCCCTAGCAAGACGCGAGCCTACTAGATGGTAATAGGGGCTCACGTTGCACCTAGTGGACGGTATTGAAGGCATCTTCTGACGTCATGGGGACCTGGACAAACCTCGAATACTGAAGTGTATCTGATGTGACCTGGCTGGTTATTCTAAAGGAATTAATGCATGCCCCTGGGCGACTGAGTTTCACTGCTCTTGTACTGTTTTAAAGTATCAGCCAGAAGTGTTGGTACTGTAGGAAGTGTTGATGAAGGCTTGGTTTGTGAAAATTCAAGAGATTCTGCGTTCCCTTTGGATTATATAAATTATAATTGATTAATTGATCCCATATTACAGTATCATTAATCAGTCATTGAGTTCATTCCTTTGGTTTTCCAGATCTCCCTGGGTCCAATGGCCCCAGAATACAAGTAATTTCACAGATGGTGTTCCACCTCAGTCCAGTGAACTGTGGTCCAGTGGCCAGTGACTCAAGGGCTAGGGATTTACTGCGTGTGACTGAAACAGGATCAACTAGCTATTTCTGTTACAGGAATACAATACAGGATTATCTCAACATGAACATCACCAGACAGGTCAGATCTCCAACACACCACACCCTGATTGTGATCATATAAACACATAATGGAAAAAATGCTATCAACTTCAGGTAAGCACAGAATCTGACATCTACTCCTATTTCTAAAGTGTACTTCAGTGTATAAATGCTTTAACAGCAGTATTGGCAAGGTTAAAGGGATCTCTCTTCCTTCCTTCCCTCTCTTCCTCCTTCTCCCTTTACCTCTGTCTAGCTCTCCCTCTCTCCATCCCAGACTTGCATCATCTAATGTCATTACCATCCCAAGTCCAATATTCTGCATGTTGCTGGTGAAGCAGTATTGGTTGGGAAAATCAGACACATAGACAGAGAAAATTGCTTTGCTCTCCTGCAGATATTTGGCACTTGAGTGTAGGCAACTTGGGGCCACAGTAGCATCTTCCATTCCCGACACACACACACACACACACACTCTGTGCTCTCTTGGACAATATTTATCTAGCGAACCACCGTGACATTCACCCCCAGCTGATGTACGACCTAGTACACTTGAACAAACAGAGTGTCAAGTGTTTTCTTGGAAAGTGAAAGAAATTGCTCTGGGACAAAGCAAAAACCAAAATAAGAGGAACTCTGCCATACATCCTCCAAGATCACGACCACCAGCCCCCACCCAGAGAGACCAGCTCCACCCTACACAACCAGGCCCCATCCAGAGAGGCCAGCTCCACCCTGCACCATCGGGCCCCCTCCAGAGAGGCCAGCTCGACCCTACACAACCAGGCCCCATCCAGAGAGGCCAGCTCCACCCTGCACCATCGGGCCCCCTCCAGAGAGGTCAGCTCCACCCTACACCATCGGTTCCCATCCAGAGCGGCAAACACCACCTTGCACCATCGGGCACCTTGCAGAGAGGCCAGCTCAACCCTACACCACCAGGCCCCATCCAGATAGGCCAGCTCCAGCCTGTAACGTCGAACCCCTTCCAGAGTGGACAGCAACCCCCCACCCCTCTACCCACCATGCTAACAGGACAACACCCCAATTAGAAGAGATTGGGGTTTGTTATTATCAGAAATAGAATTATTAGAAATACAACCTATTATCATTATGAGTTCAGTTTTATATAAGCTACCCAGGAAAGGGTTAAAGTTAGCTCATATAAATATATGTAGCCTCAGAAACAAAGTCCATGAGATTAGTAATTAGATCATCTTAGATAATATTAAAGCTGCAATATGTAACTTTTTGGGCGACCCAACCCAAATTCACATAGAAATGTGTGTTATAGATCTTCCATTCTCATTGAAAGCAAGTCTAAGAAGCAGTATATCTGTTCTATGTGTGCTATTTATATGCTTCCCATTCTTAAGATTTGTTTTTTTAGATTTTACATTTTAGTCGACGCTCTTATCCAGAGCGACATGCAGTTAGTGAGTGCATACATTTTTCATACTGGCCCCCTGTGGGAATCGAACCCACAACCCTGGCGTTGCAAGTGCCATGCTCTACCAACTGAGCTACCAACTGCGTCTTTTACTATTGGTTTTGTACACCAGCTGCAAACAGCTGAAAATACAATATTTTTGGTTATGGAAAATATATTTCACAGCGGTTTAGATGGTACAAGGATTCTCTACACTATACTTGCTTGTTCTGTCACATAAACTGAAATTAGGCTAACTATTAGAACTTTAGCAACCAGGAAATGGCGGAGCATTTCTACATAGTGCATCTTTAAGTTTAGTTTTTGCGTCTTTTACTTTCAGTTTTGAACACCAGCTTCAAACAGCTGAAAATACAATATTTTTGGTTATTGAAAATATATTTCACAGCGGTTTAGATAGTACAATGATTCTTTACACTGAGTGACCCATCCGTGTACCGTTCGCTCAATCAACATCCAAACTTAAATAACGAAGATGATAATCATTTGGACTGCATTAATTAATTTTTCTATGTCATCCACAAGATTGAATTATTAAACAGAGACAATGTGGGCATGGAAAAGAGGGTCTGCCACAGGATATTTGTGCTAAGGATTTTCAAAGTAAAAGCTGTGTGACTAACGCTTGAACTTTACCTGACCATCGCTCCAGCTAGCTAGCTTTCACCATTAGTTATATAAGGGCCACCAACAAGTAACATTTGTGTACTTGTGTTATTTATTTTATTGTCTTTTTTGCTCATCTTTGTCAAAGGTGTCAACATTTTTGGACCTGACTATATTTTATCTTGACTTGAAGTTGTTTGACTTGAACTTGTTAGTTTTGTTAATATGTTAAAATGTTCGTTAATATGTTAAATGTGTTTAGATGTTGTTTATATGTTACTATATTTTATCTTGAAGTTGTTTGACTTGAACTTGTTAGTTTTGTTAATATGTTAAATAATACTTATAAGCCATTTAGCAGACGCTTTTATCCAAAGCGACTTACAGTCATGTGTGCATACATTTTTACGTATGGGTGGTCCCGGGGATCGTGCCCACTACCCTGGCGTTACAAGCGCCATGCTCTACCAATTGAGCTACAGAGGACCACAATGTGTTTAGATGTTGTTGTTATGTTGTTTGTATGTTACAATAAAAACATTTCATTATTAGTAAATGCAATGCGCTCTCTAAATTGATGAATCATTGAACATCTTTACCAGCTGTCTGATTTAATTCATTGATATTTGTTGGGAGTATACATGACAATATCACTAGGAAATCAGGGCAGCAAAGTTATCCAAACAATAGCATTACGTTCACTTATAACTTTATTCGTCCAAATTTATGGGGTGATCACATCAGAGCCAAAGCAAAGTAGCAGTTACTGAAATAAAGTTACTGGATCAAGTTACTGGATCAAGTTCTTTAACAGAAGTAAAGCATGGAAAATATACTAGACGTTAAATAATATATTTTATTTTATTCACACCAACTGACATACCTGGAGCTCTTGTGACTGCCATATCAACAGAGTTGACTGGAATTTGTTTCAGTGCAGCTCATACATGCCAACAAAGCTGACTTCATCCCAGCCTATGCTAACCTCCAGTCCCTCGACTTCCTGGCGCTGACGGAAACATGGATTACCACTGAAAACACTGCTACTCCTACTGCTCTCTCCTCGTCTGACCATGTGTTCTCGCATACCCCGAGAGCATCTGGTCAGAGGGGTGGTGGCACAGGAATCCTCATCTCTCCCAAGTGGACATTCTCAATTTTTCCCCTAACCCATCTGTCTATCTCCTCATTTGAATTCCATGCTGTCACAGTCACTAGCCCATTTAAGCTTAATATCCTTGTCATCTATCGCCCTCCAGGTTCCCTTGGAGAGTTCATCAATGAGCTTGACGCCTTGATAAGTTCCTTTCCTGAGGATGGCTCACCCCTCACAGTTTTGGGGGATTTCAACCTCCCTATGTCTACATTTGACTCATTTCTCTCTGCCTCCTTCTTTCCACTCCTCTCCTCTTTTGACCTCACCCTCTCACCGTCCCCCCCTACTCACAAGGCAGGCAATACGCTTGACCTCATCTTTACTAGATGCTGCTCTTCTACTAATCTCACTGCAACTCCCCTCCATGTCTCCGACCACTACTTTGTTTCCTTTTCTCTCTCGCTCTCCTCCCACACTACTCACTCTGCCCCTACACAGATGGTAATGCGCCGCCGCAACCTTCGCTCTCTCTCTCCCACTACTCTCTCCTCTTCCATCCTATCATCTCTTCCCTCTGCTCAATCGTTCTCCCTCCAATCTCCTGATTCTGCCTCCTCAACCCTCCTCTCCTCCCTTTCTGCATCCTTTGACTCTCTGTGTCCCCTATCCTCCCGGCCGGCTCGGTCCTCCCCTCCAGCTCCGTGGCTTGATGACTCATTGCGAGCTCACAGAACAGAGCTCCGGGCAGCGGAGCGGAAATGGAAGAAAACTAAACTCCCTGCCGACCTGGCATCTTTTCACTCCCTCCTCTCTACATTTTCTTCATCTGTTTCTGCTGCTAAGGCCACTTTCTACCACTCTAAATTCCAAGCATCTGCCTCTAACCCTAGGAAGCTCTTTGCCACTTTTTCCTCCCTGCTGAATCCTCCCCCCCCCCCCCCCCCCCCCCTCCTCTCTCTGTGGATGACTTCGTCAACCACTTTGAAAAGAAGGTTGACGACATCCGATCCTCGTTTGTTAAGTCTAATGACACTGCTGGTCCTACTCACACTGCCCTACCCTATGCTTTGACTTCTTTCTCCCCTCTCTCTCCAGATAAAATCCTGCGACTTGTGACTGCAGGCCGCCCAACAACCTGCCCGCTTGACCCCATCCCCTCCTCTCTTCTCCAGACCATCTCCGGTGACCTTCTCCCCTACCTCACCTCGCTGATCAACTCATCCTTGACCGCTGGCCATGTCCCTTCCGTCTTCAAGAGAGCGAGAGTCGCTCCCCTTCTCAAAAAACCAACACTCAATCCCACTGATGTCAACAACTACAGACCAGTATCCCTTCTTTCTTTTCTTTCCAAAACTATTGAGCGTGCCGTCTTTAGCCAACTCTCTTGCTATCTCTCTCAGAATGACCTTCTTGATCCAAACCAGTCAGGTTTCAGGACTGGTCATTCAACTGAGACTGCTCTTCTCTGTGTCACGGAGGCTCTCCGCACTGCTAAAGCTAACTCTCTCTCCTCTGCTCTTGTCCTTCTAGACCTGTCTGCTGCCTTTGATACTGTGAACCATCAGATCCTCCTCTCCACCCTCTCCGAGCTGGGCATCTCCGGCGCGGCTCACTCCTGGATGGCGTCCTACCTGACCGGTCGCTCCTACCAAGTGGCGTGGCGAGAAGCTGTCTCCGCACCACGTGCTCTCACCACTGGTGTCCCCCAGGGCTCAGTTCTAGGCCCTCTCCTTTTCTCCCTATACACCAAGTCACTTGGCTCTGTCATATCCTCACATGGCCTCTCCTATCATTGCTACGCTGACGATACACAACTAATCTTCTCCTTTCCCCCCTTCTGATAACCAGGTGGCGAATCGCATCTCTGCATGTCTGGCAGACATATCAGTATGGATGACGGATCACCACCTCAAGCTGAACCCTGGCAAGACGGAGCTGCTCTTCCTCCCGGGGAAGGACTGCCCGTTCCATGATCTCGCCATCACGGTTGACAACTCCGTTGTGCCCTCCTCCCAGAGTGCGAAGAGCCTTGGCGTGACCCTGGACAACACCCTGTCGTTCTCCGCTAACATCAAGGCGGTGACCCGCTCCTGCAGGTTCATGCTCTACAACATTCGGAGAGTACGACCCTGCCTTACACAGGAAGCGGCACAGGTCCTAATCCAGGCACTTGTCATCTCCCGTCTGGACTACTGCAACTCGCTGTTGGCTGGCCTCCCTGCCTGTGCCATTAAACCCCTACAACTCATCCAGAATGCCGCAGCCCGTCTGGTGTTCAACCTTCCCAAGTTCTCTCACGTCACCCCCCTCCTCCGCACACTCCACTGGCTTCCAGTTGAAGCTCGCATCCGTTACAAGACCATGGTGCTTGCCTATGGAGCAGTGAGGGGAACGGCACCTCTGTACCTTCGGGCTCTGATCAGTCCCTACACCCAAACGAGGGCATTGCGTTCATCCACCTCTGGCCTGCTGGCTCCCCTTCCTCTGCGGAAGCATAGTTCCCGCTCAGCCCAGTCAAAACTGTTCGCTGCTCTGGCACCCCAATGGTGGAACAAGCTCCCTCACGACGCCAGGACAGCGGAGTCACTCACCACCTTCCGGAGACATTTGAAACCCCACCTCTTTAAGGATTACCTGGGATAGGATAAAGTAATCCTTCTACCCCCCCCCCCCCCCCCCCCCAAAAAAAATTGTAAAGTGGTTTTCCCACTGGCTATAGGGTGAATGCACCAATTTGTGAGTCGTTCTGGATAAGAGCGTCTGCTAAATGACGTAAATGTGCCCTTGAGCAAGGCACTTAACCCTAATTGCTCCTGTAAGTCGCTCTGGATAAGAGCGTCTGCTAAATGACTAAAATGTAAAATGTAATACAAACAAAAACAGTAGACACTAAAAACAGTATCACAAAATAAAATCCAAAACATCCATAAAATCATTCATATTAATTGATGATCTCGAGGGCCTCTGTACATACTAGCGACAAGTGCTAACCAGAAGAGTATTTTCCTCACTGAAGTGCCTGTGAGAGGAAGCTACTAGACTACTGAGACACAGCCAGTGTCTCCTCAAGGTGAGGAGGTGTTGAAGGTGCCCCCCAGGGGTCGGCAGGAGGCAAAGGGGGAGAGGTCCTTGTGGGCGAACATGAAGATGTCGCTCAGTTTTTTGTAGTAACAGGAACTGCAAGAAGTCGGCCATCATGGCGTGGAGCTCCGGTTGCTGCCACAGGTACGAGGCATGCTCCACTTTCAACTCCTCCTGTAACACACACACACATCAGGTCAGGTTGGAAATGTAAGGGTTAGTGGTTTAAGAGTAAGGGGTTAAGGTGAGAGCAGGGGGTAATGGTAGGGTGTAGGGAAAGACTAATATGTCACCTTTCTGTCTAGAAACTTGGAGTGCATCTGCATGTCCTCCTCCCACACCAGACAACCTCTTCTCAAAGCTTACCATCGCTCACTTCTGACACACAACACACAAACATGTAAATAGGGGAACATTACCAATAGTGTATGTGTGTGTGTACCTGTGTGTATTTGGGGCAGGAGCAGCAGGAGCCTCATGTTGACGGGAGAGCCCACCTGCACTCCGTTCACCAGGTGCCTAAACAGGAAAAGGATATGACATCACACAGGGAGAAAGAGATGGCATCAGCAATGCTATTTTTTATATTAAAGAACAAGTTCACTACTGACTTTCAGAATGCATATACAAAAGGGCACTCAACTGCTACTGCACTGACTCAGATGATTGATGATTGGCTAAAATAAATGGATAATAAGATAATAGTTGGAGCTCTATTGCTAGATTTCAGTGCAGCCTTTGATGTTATTTATCATCATTTGTTATTGAAAAAACTAACTTGTTATGGCCTTACATCAACTGCCATCACATGGTTGGAGAGTTACTTATCCAATAGAACTCAGAGACTATTCTTCAATGGAAGCTTCTCTAACATCAGATATGAACGTGCGGTATTCCTCAGGGCAGTTGCCTTGGGCTGTTACCCTTCTCTATTTTTACAAATGATTTGCCTTGTCTTACAAGAAGCTAAAATGGCTATGTATGCTGATGATTGCACACTCTACACATCAGCACCTACAGCCAGTGACCTCACTGAGATGCTTAGTTACAGTCAGTGTCAGAATGGGCAATTGACACAAAACTGGTCTTCAATGCATCTAAAACCAAAAGCATGGTATTTGGTTCAAAGTATTCTCTTAGACCTAAACCTGAGAGTGTGACCATTGAACAAGTTGAAGAAGCTGAACTCCTAGGAGTAACATTGGATGGTCAGTTATCATGGTCAAGTCATATTGACAAAGTTGTTGTGAAGATGGGGAGCACACATAAAATGATAGTCTGTTATAACATTTACATTTACGTCATTTAGCAGACGCTCTTATCCAGAGCGACTTACAGTTAGTGAGTTCATACATTATATATTTTTATATATTTTTTTCATACTGGCCCCCCGTGGGAATCGAACCCACAACCCTGGCGTTGCAAACGCCATGCTCTACCAACTGATCTACATCCCTGCCGGCCATTCCCTCCCCTTCCCTGGACGACGCTGGGCCAATTGTGCGCCGTCACATGGGTCCCCCGGTCGCGGCCGGCTACGACAGAGTTCTGCATTTTTGACACAAAGATCAACTTTGATCTTGTCCCATCTTGATTACTGTCCGGTAAAATGGTCAGGTGCAGCAAAGAAAGACCTAGCAAAGCTGCAGCTGGCTCAAAACAAAGCAGCACGTTTTGCCCTTAACTGCTCACACAGAAATAACATGAACAACATGCATGATATTCTTTCATGGTTGAGGAGAAATTGACTACTTCTCTTCTAGACCTTTTAAGAAATATTTGTGTGTTGAAAATGCCTAACCACTTGTATAATCTACTTGCATACACTTCAAACAGACATGCATACCCCACAAGACACCCCACTATGGGTTTCTTCACAGTACCCAAACAAAAAAAAGATGTCATGCGTCACTCAGTTATGTATAGAGCAACGTCATCATGGAATGCTCTGCCACCCGAGGTTACTCAGGCAAAAAGCATGTTTAGCTTTAGAAAACAGATTTTAAAAAACAGATTTGTATCATAGCGCCTCTCTTCTTTCTAAAGATCTCATTTAACTGTACTGTATATGAATATGTATGGTACCAGTCAAACGTTTGGACACACCTACTCATTCAAAGGATTTTCTTAATTTTTTTTACTATTTTCTACATTGTACAATAATAGTGAAGACGTCAAAACTATGAAATAACACATATGGAATCATGTAGTAACCAAAAAAGTGTTAAATAAATCAAAATATATTATATATTTTAGATTCATTAAATAGCCACCCTTTGCCTTGATGACAGCTTTGCACACTCTTGGCATTATCTCAACCAGCTTCATGAGGTAGTCACCTGGAATGCATTTCAATTAACAGGTGTGCCTTCTTAAAAGTTAATTTGTGGAATTTCTTTCCTTCTTAAATCGTTTGAGCCAATCAGTTGTGTTGTGACAAAGTAGGGGGGGTATACAGAAGATAGCCCTATTTGGTAAAAGTCCATATTATGGCAAGAACAGCTCAAATAAGCAAAGAGAAACGACAGTCCATCATTACTTTAAGACATGAAGGTCAGTCAATACAGAAAATGTAAAGAACTTTGAAAGTTTCTTCAAGTGCAGTCGCAAAAACCATCAAGCGCTATGATGAAACTGGCTCTCATGAGGACCGCCACAGGAATGGAAGACCCAGAGTTACCTCTGCTGCAGAGGATATGTTCATTAGAGTTACCAGCCCAAATAAAAGCAGTCCAAATAAATGCTTCACAGAGTTCAAGTAACAAACACATCTTAACATCAACTGTTCAGAGGAGACTGTGTGAATCAGGCCTTCATGGTCAAATTGCTGCAAAGAAACCACTACTAAAGGACACCAATAATAAGAAGAGACTTGCTTGGGCCAAGAAACACGAGCAATGGACATTAGACCGGTGGAAATGTGTCCTTTGGTCTGGAGTCGAAATTTGAGATTTTTGGTTCCAATCGCCGTGTCTTTGTGAGACGCGGTGTGGGTGAACGGCTGATCTCCGCATGTGTATTTCCCACCGTAAAGCATGGAGGAGGAGGTGTTATGGTGTGGGGGTGCTTTACTGGTGATACTGTCTGTGATTTATTTAGAATTACACTTAATCAACATGGCTACCACAGCATTCTGCAGCGATACACCATCCCATCTGGTTTGGGCTTAGTGGGACTATCATTTGTTTTTCAACAGGACAATGACCCAGCACACCTCCAGGCTGTGTAAGGGCTATTTTACCAAGGAGAGTGATGGAGTGCTGCATCAGATGACCTGGCCTCCACAATCCCCCGACTTCAACACAATTGAGATGATTTGGGATGAGTCGGACCACAGAGTGAAGGAAAAGCAGCCAACAAGTGCTCAGCATTTGTGGGAACTCCTTCAAAACTGTTGGAAAAGCATTCCAGGTGAAGAAGGTTGAGAAAATGGCAAGAGTGTGCAAAGCTGTCATCAAGGCAAAGGGTGGCTATTTGAAGAATCTCAAATATAAAATATATTTGGATTTGTTTAACACTTTTTTAGTTACTACATGATTCCATATGTGTTATTGTATAGTTTTGATGTCTTCACTATTATTGTACAATGTAGAAAATAGTAAAAATAAAGAAAAACCCTTGAATGAGTAGGTATGTCCAAACCTTTGACTGGTACTGTATGTAAATTACATACTTCTGTATTTCATTTTCAATACATTTGCAAAAATGTCTAAAAACATGTTTTTACTTTGTCATTATGGAGTATTGTGTGTGATGGGTGAGGGGAAAAAAACAATTTCATCCATTTTGAATTCAGGCTGTAACACAACAAAATGTGGAATAAGTCAAGGGGTATGAATACTTTCTGAAGGCACTGTATATAAATGCATATCAAACAGGAATATATATTCAATTAAATGAATACAGCATTGTAATATTATTGATGCCTTTCTCTCTCCTTGCAGGGGATTAAACAGATGAACTGCAGTCACTAACACCTAATTCAACTAATTGTGGTCTAAATTGGATGGCATACCAGTCGAAGTATACCAAACCTTTTTTGATATACTAAGAGGACCGCTATTAGCATGTTTTAACCACTCCTATGTAAATGGTAGATTATCTGACACTCAAGAAGAAGGTCTGATCTCATTATTACTGAAACAGGATACAAGTGGAAAATATAAAGATCCAGTCCATGTTGTGATGCAAAAATTCTAGCAAAATGTATAGCTCATTGAATTAAAAAGGTATTGTCGGATATTATTCATTCTAATCAGACAGGTTTTTTTTACAAGGAAGATATATTGGAGATAATATAAGGCAAGTATTGGAAACAATAGAACATTATGGAAAATCGGAGAAACCAGGCCTGCTATTCATAGCAGACTTCGAAAAGGCATTTGATAAAGTACGACTGGGGTTTATATATAAATGCCTGGAGCGTTTCAATTTTGGTGAATCTCTTATAAAATGGGTCAAAATCATGTATAGTAACCCTAGGTGTAAAATAGTAAATAATGGCTATTTCTCAGAAAGTTTTAAACTGTCAAGAGGAGTGAAACAAGGTTGTCCACTATCGGCATATCTATTTATTGTGGCCATCGAGATGTTAGCTATTAAAATCAGATCCAACAATAATATCAGGGGATTAGAAATCCAGGGCTTAAAAACAAAGGTGTCATTGTACGTTGATGATTCATGTTTTCTTTTAAATCCACAACTAGAATCACTCCACAGCCTCATAGAGAATCTAGATACATTTTCTAACCCCTCTGGATTACAACCAAATTATGACAAATGTACTATATTACGTATTGGATCAATAAAAAATACAATTTTTACATTGCCATGTAGTTTACCAATAAAATGGTCTGATGGTGATGTGGATATACTCGGAATACATATCCCAAAGGAAATAAATGATCTCACTTCAATAAATTATAATAGAAAGTTAGCAAAAATAGATAAGATTTTGCTACCATGGAAAGGTGGGTGCCTGTCAATTTGTGGAAAAATCACCCTGATTAACTCTTTAGTATTATCCCAGTTTACCTATTTGCTTATGGTCTTGCCTACGCCTAGCGAACAGTTTTTTAAAATTATATGAGAAAAAAATATTCCATTTTATTTGGAACGGCAAGCCAGACAAAATTAAACGGGCCTATTTATATAATGAATATGAATTCGGAGGACAGAAATTATTAAATATTAAAGCATTAGACCTATCACTAAAAGCTTCAGTCATACAAAAGTTATACTTAAATCCGAACTGGTTCTCTAGCAAATTAGTAAGATTGTCTCACCCAATGTTCAAGAATGGCCTTTATTCAGATTACAACCACTCACTTTCAGTTATTTGAAAAGGAAATCATCTCCCAGATATCACTATTTCTAAAACAAGCCATAGAAAGATGGTTGCAATTTCAATTTAATCCTCCAGAAATGACAGAACAAATAATGAAACAAATATTGTGGTTAAACTCAAATATACTAATTACATTTTAGTCATTTAGCAGACGCTCTTATCCAGAGCGACTTACAGTTAGTGAGTGCATACATTATTATTTTATTTTTTTCATACTGCCCC